TACATAAAGTATCTATATGAACACTGTGACTATACAGAATACAGTTTTCACAGACATGATTAACACTGGAGAAAATTAATGAAAATGAAATTACTATCAGACAGTAATAATCCTATTACTGTTTTCTGGAAAAAGCACATAAAAAACCCCCCATGGAATAACGTTTTAAACTCAATGGTGCTACTTTTGCTGTTAAGTCAGTAAGTTCAGTATGTGCCAAAATTTACTGTGACACAAGAGTTTCCAACATAAGCGTCCTCCCTATTACATCTAAGTTGCTTCAGCCAAAATTTAAAAATAACATAAAAACTTTACTGTGTTTTGGTTCCAGTCTGGAAAATATAAGGAGTTGATGGAAGAAGTCTACAGTCTGATATTTCTGAAAGGAAAGACATCAAGAAGTTTTCATACCTGGGCGGTAGAATGTGTTTCTCTTGTTTTAGCCTTTTATTACCTGCTATAGACTTGAATAAGGCAGAATGTCACAGAAGAGCAGCCAGAAACTTACCATTCATTATTACCCTCCTCATCAGCAGTAGCTTCTATAAATTTGGATTTTTTTTTTTATTGAAATCCAAAATCTTAGTAGGGGATAAATACAGAAGACAGAATGAGACCTGAAGGCTATGGATAAGTGTGGCTTGAACAAAGCAGTTTGAGGTGTAACAGTAGACAGCGTGATTGGAAGTAATTGAATGATTGCTTTGGGCCGTAATTTCCAACATAAGTTACTGTAACCAACTGTTCATGCATTGGCAGTGAGAACCTGCTCTGGCTTAACGTAGCATAAAAGAACTAATAGGTTATTAAATGTTAAAGACTGCCAGAAAATATGTATTTTCAACAAGAATTGTGAAATCTGGATGTGAATTTTTTCCAAAAGTGATTTAACAAAATACATTACAGAACACAACTGCTGTGTTTCTGTTTTGCACTTTCTTCATCTTTAATCGTATGAAAATATATCTGCTGTACTACAAGGCAAGCAGTTGCTGGAGATAAGTGCTAAATGTCTTTATATGGCACCTATGGGTACACACTTGGAAAGTAGTAAAGAAAAATACCAGGGCAAGAGCTAATTATTATTGATAGGAATACAGACTCCTTTTTTATACCAACTTCCTATCTCTGTTTCCACTAACCTCTTTAATTTGCAAAGAGCGTGATATTAATGCGGAACTGTGACATGTATAACACAGCAGACAAAAAGAAAGAAAATCCATTTTTTCAAGTATGTTTGTTCATTTGCTTTAAGAAAAGCACTGTCAATTATATTTTGACTTTCAAATTAATAAGATGGTGTGAAATGTTGTGAGACCTGGGTACAAGGTTGTCATTGATTAAAATAAGACACTCTTCATGGAGAGCAAACAGGACATGACAGATTTGTGCCTGAGCCTTTAATTTCTATTTTCTGAATTTTTATTTTTTCTGCTGACCTTAAAGAAATGTTTTATATTGTCATTTATTTCAGACACTTAGCTCATTGTAAATAAAAACCACTTAGTTGTTACTGAGAAAGTGAAGCCAGCTGGTTATATCTTTACCTGTAGTGTGTGCATAGAATTCTTTCCCACACTTGGTTGGCTCAGTAACTGTTGTACTTAATTAGAAATGCTTGATATACACCTGAAATTTCTTCATCCTGCTGCAAAAACTATGCATAATTATGCTGGACTCCTCGAGTCACACCATATTCATCTATTTTGAAGAACAATACCAATGTTAATTTGAACACATGAGTAAATTAATAACAAATGAGAAGAAAACCTTATACCTAATTCTGTAATGTCCACAACTATGTATCTGCACTTACATTACTGTTCAGGGTCCTTTAGAATAAAGATTTAGAATTCTAATAAAAAAGGTCTTAATTAAGTTTAAGAACATAATGGCCAAATGTTTTTGAATGTATCATATGACCATTATTTGAATAGATATGGTGAAATTTTATTTCATATCTTGCTTTTTTCCTTAAAAAATATACCAAATATAGCAGCATATTTTTCTTTAGTAGTGTCTAAACAATATTGCTGCAAAAAGAAAGGAACACAAATGTTATTTTCCCAACTCTTTTAATTGTATATTTTATCTGGACATTGGAACAAATCTTGCACTAGTGTAACTATCCAAAGTATTGCAAAAGTCAGTTGAGCTGTGACCATGTCAGTATTTAACTTTATACATTTATTCAGTTACCTGCTATCTGGATTTTATTGCTTTGCCTGGGATCATTAATTTTCATTCATAGCTTTTAATAGTTTTGGAGCTCTTGATGCAACTGTTTTCAGTCAATAAGAAGCTCTGATTCTGTCCCTACTTGTCTTTGCCAGGCCCATATCTCTAAGTGAGAACGATGTCAAAAAACCCCAGTTGAGATAAAAACCTAAACGTACAGAAAGTATTTATTACAGCCTTTTGCTTAAACACTGGACAAATATTAGTAAAGCTCACTGTGAAATGCCAGAGTTAGAGGAAGGTCCATTCAAACTCCTCAGGGCTAGACTGCTCAGACGGGGCTGGAGTCAGTACCAGAAATTTCTTGGCTCCTGTACTCATATTTAAACTTTTGTAACGCAGTTTTTATTTCTGGGGGTGGGACACTAACATCATTGTCTAATGAGCTCTGCCAAACAAAACAGAAGGCATGCTTGGTGGTTCAGGAATAAACATCTGTCCTAGTCAGCTTAGTTCATGTCTATCTGTTTGCAGCACTGAGGCTTAAGGAGAAAACCAAAATCAGAGAATTTAGGAGTGTTTTGAATCAGTTATCATACGTCACACAAAGCAAGCAGCTTACCTCATTACTTGCCAGCATCAATGGCTACACTTGTGGATGCCACTGAGTATTTTTGGGCTCCATCTCATTCACATTGCAACTCTTGGTTTCTAGGTAGTAGAGAAAAGGGATGCTGGAAGTTGTGTTTGTTTTGTTGGCTGAATGCATCACTATGGATGGATGGTGTAGTGTACACAAGATTTCCCTATAAAATGGAAGAATAGATACTATAGATATATACAGATATAATATGCAGCTTGGTTTTGCTTGGAAGTGACCTAATTTGAGACTAGATTGGGAAATGCAAGTAAGCAAAGAAAGGAAACAGTTTTTGGATGAGCATCTATTTAACCCTAGGAAATTATATTGTAAATGCACAGTCCTTGAAGTTGTCAGATATATTTAGGCACAACAATTTTCATTATCATATTCTTTGGATAATTAATTTAATTCTGCTACTTAGGTTGCTGATGGAACAACTTCCATCAACAACTTAATACAAAGTTTTTAGGCATTCAGAGAAGCAAGCTGAGGACAAGTTTGAACATGTTTCCTGGGGATCTTTAAAAAGCTAGCCCACCATTGACATTTCTTGCCTTTTTTTACTTGTTTGGTTTTGATCTGTTCCTGCATAGGATTGTGCATATTAGATATGGCCATTGTTCTAGCATGTGGTTTGTCAGCTTTTTTATTTGTTAGAAGTATTTAATGTATAATTCTTGAGAACACTGCAAATGATGTTGCAGTGCTCTCAATTTTTAAAAAGCCTTTGCTTTATGCTTTCTATGTTATGTTGTTTTATGGTTATAATTTATTTGCTTGTATGTTTAATCAATTTCTAAAGTTTCAATTGCTTATCAACTTCACTGTTTCTTAGTTTATTCCTGTGGCACTTCTTTTGCAGAATTCAGCCCATAGTAACCATTGTTAATAAATATTTACATTTGTGTGAATGCTTGCAAAAAATTTACATTTTAGCCCTAATCTTAAAAAAATTTAAAACTCCAGAAAGAGTTCACCATTTAACAATGCTTGAAAAAAGGGGAAAAGAAGGGAAGGTACTTCTGCCTGACACAGCATGAGCAGAAGTACAGTGCAGTTTGTGAGCAGTGTCAGTGCTAACCAATGCACTTGCACATGCGCCCAACTTGTGATGGCCAAGTGAAACTTCTGGTGTCAGGCAGAATGCTCTGATCTACCCTAAAGCTGATACATGGAAGATACTCAATATGTAAAATCTACTGCTTTGTATGTTTTGAGAATCAGCTACATAACATTGGAACATAATGGTTCCAATAGTGGAATAACATTCCACTATGTATCTAAACTTTTTTATTTAAGAATTAATGTGTGCAAAAAACACCTGAATGTTTCTTTCAGCATGCAAAATATTCAGTTGCACCTTTTTTTGAAAAGATTTAAAAAAAAATATTTTATAGAATGGTATCTCTTATAATTGGAGGCATATTCCTTTTCCTACTCATTTTCTTTTGTTTTGTTGGTCACATTAAACAACAATCACTAGGAAGAAAAGTGGACAAACCAGGTTTTCATGATATTGTTCATGAACTTGATGCTCAGTGATTTATGGTGTTTGTCTCTCTCTCTTTCTTTTTTTTTTTGTTTTGGTATTTTTTTTGTTTTGTTGTTTTTTTGTTTGTTTGTTTTTGTTGGGTTTTTTTTCAGTAGCTTCTTGCTTTGATAATGAGATGAGAATTGGGAATCAAAATCTTGCCTCTTAGTTCATAGTGTTGATGTTAGTGTCACATGAGAGAACATGTGGGTAGTGGACTGAAGAGATGGTTTCCTACATACTTATTAAAGCTTTTAGACAACTTCTCCATGCTGGCTCTGTCAGCTTTTGTTGGTTTTTTTTTTGTTGTTGTTGTGTGCAAATCTTTTGGAGGGGTTTATTTGTTTTTCAAATGCTGAAAGTCTTATTTGTGCAAGGAGTCATGGCCGTGCTCTGATGTATTTGTAGTCTTTGGAGAATTAGAGCTTGGCTGAGGTGTTTTTTTGTTTTTTTTCTTTCAGCAAACATCTCTTTCTCCCTTAGTGTCTTGGCAATATACAGAGTATCCACACATTTCTGTGCAATATATACCCAATAGCATAACAGGGTTGTGAAGATTTATGCTCATGTTGGAAACATATTTTGTCATAATGTTCACACACCTACACGTTTCCTAGTCATTGTGGTTTATTTATCTATTTCTTCTAGAATGGTTGCCTGGGGAAAACAGCACTGCTGTGTTGGCAGAATACAGGATGTTTTCTTGAGATTCAGAATTGTTCAAGCAGTCCTTTTACTTCAGTTGTTCTTGGCTACAGCAAGCAAAGGTAAGAGAATTTTTTCCTGATTTGTCTAGTGTTGGTATTCCAAATAAATAACATTAGTCTTGATGAATAGGACTTTTGAATATATTCATACAGGCAAGATTTTGCCTCTTGAAATCAAGAAGAAAAACTGTCCCTAACAAGAAATTAAACAGTTGGTGCTTAGCATTTTGGATGCTTTTTATGTTTTCATAAAAATCATTGGTAGTAATTTCTTCTAGACTATTGATGAGGAGAGAACCAAAGCACAGTTTGTAATAACAAGACAAATTATTCTATTGCTGGGTTTTTTTTGAGCAGGAAGTGTTACTATTTTCAAAACATGTTGTTACGTCTTTTATACTGCGTTTAAAAAAACACCACAAGATGCTTTGAGCTTTGCTCTGTTTAGGGTGTGTGTGTGTAGAACATCTTCTGCATTGATCTTGGTTGAGGATCTGAATATGGCTAAGAAAAAGGTAATAAAGTCCAAAACATGTAACAGAAATTACATATTTGAACTTGGAAGTTTATGCTCTTTATGTAACAGTAAATGAAAAATAAATGCATAAGGTTCTTGTGGATAATTGACATGGTGAGGCTTTTGTGTGAGGTAAAGTAGAATAAAGTGAGGTAAAATAATTTGTGTTTTTTCATGGCTGTTCTGTAAACTGATAGTTAGTCTGTTACTGCTCTGGACCTTAGCTGATAAAGAGAACAGCACTTGTCATTCATGAAGTTTCATTATGTCAGTAGTGTGTAATGCATTTATCATGTTAATAATGTGCTTAGTGTATTTAAAAATCTGAGTGTTTTTTGCTGCGTATTTAATAGCTAGTTTCAGAAGCTGCTTTCTGTGTCATGGCATGTTATTTTACTCTAGGTTAGAACTTCTTGCAGTTCAGATTTACTGCCTGATTTTTTACATTTAAGTCTGCCTGCTTAACAACATAGTACAGCCAGTGAGGTTTCATAGGTTCAGACTAGACTAGTTTTGACTCTAATTCTGCAGTTACGGTAACTTTTACAAAATGTTTCTGTTGAGGCAGAATCTGAGATTCAGGTGATAAACCTGCTGCTTAGATGGAGAGGTGTTAACCTCTTGTACTTTAAATAGTGAAAAGGACAGAGCTGCTCAGCAGATGGACAGATGTGTCATTGAAGAGTTTTGCCAAGGAAAATTCAACTGTATCTGAAGTTCTGAGGAAGCAAGCAAAGAGGGGTTTCATTTTTCACCCTTGTATCACTTACAACTGTCAGTAATCATCAAGGAAGGCTAAATTAACACAAGAGTGTGTTTACATTTCCCCCCTATTTTATTGGGGTTTTTTTGGTTTTAGGCTGTCAGCAGTTAGTACTGTCAGCTGCATCTCTACTCAGTTCTCTCCTCATCTGAGGTGCCAAAATATGTTTGTGTTCTCCAAAAAATGTGAAGAGAGAAAAACTTCTTGTGTTTTGTTTTATTTTGATGCTCTGGATGTTGGATAATGTGGTGTTTATCCCCAGCTAAACAAATAGAGCTGTGAATGAAAAGGAGGGATGAAATTGATTTTGGGGAAACATTTCTTAGATTCAGATTTCAAAATGTTCAACAGAATCAAGTGAGTCACATGTAGAAAGTTTAGTTTTAGACTTTAATGAAAACCAGTTATGAGCTCTAGATGGGATATGTGAGTATATAAGAGTCTTTTGACGTCATTTTAATGGTCTGTAGCAAGCCAAACGTGTCACAGGTGGCAAACACTTGCAAGAAAGTTAATTATTGTTATTAATTATTGTTATTAGTTAAAAGCCAGACTGTGCAGACACGTAAGCTTGTGACTATTTTTATTCAAGAGAATACCTGACTGTATTAATGCTCAGCTGTTCTCATCCAGTGGTTACTAGTAACATAAGGAAAATAACACTGGTTCTTATGTACTGAGAGAATCTGCTCCTGTAGGTCTAATTCTTAATACCTACAGTTGGCTATCTTTTCTAAAGATACTAGTTATCACTATCTAAAAATGTTGAGGAAAAAGAAAGAGATTAATTTTTGGTTTGTGTTGTCATTCTCAGAAAGTTAATTTTAAACTTTTGGAGGTATATGCATATGTTTCAGGATTTCTTTTAGGGCTTAAGAGAACATGCTTATTAAGTACATTGCTTTTAGTTTTAGTGAAGTAAGAGATAAGTATAGTAAGAAGAAAAAATTTGCATTTCTGAAAAGGTTTATATGCCCAAATACAGCAGAAGACATTGGAAAGTCATCCCATGATTACTATTGAATGGAGTTTCCTTCACTCCAAATTGTGGGATTTTTTTTTATTTCTTTTTTTTTAATTGCCATTATTTATTTTTTCTTGATTTTTCTTACTCTGGAGCTGTTTGAAGCATTCTTTCCACTATGCTCCTTTTTCTGTGGTGTGGTGATAAAGGTGTGTTCATGGCTGCTTTTCTGAATGTATTGTATTGTCTGCATGCAAGGAGACTACAGGAATGGCTCTGTCAGAGCACAGGCAGTTCCAGCTCCTTGGTTCCGTGGTCAAGGGTGGGTCACAGCCCACAACCACCGCTGCTTGAGAAAATAAGTGATGATTAACAGATCTTCCAAAGGTTTTACTGTAATGTCATCTCCTGCTTACAATGTATCCACCCACATGTAAAGGAGACTTAGTCAAGATAATACTGATAATTAATTTCTAATGTAATGCTGTACTGCACTCACTTGGAACAACAAAGTGCTTTTTGTGACTATGATTATGATTTCCTTTCTGCTTTTTCAGCATTCTTTGGGTAGATAAAGCATATTAAAACTTCCAGCCTTGTAACAATTCAGATAGTATTGGTATGTATTCTCTTAATTTTGGCATCCCTTTTTGGCACTTTTTTAAATGACTGTTCAGAGCAAGTGGGCCAGCTTTACAGTTTCCAGAAGGGTAGACCTTTCTATGTAAACACTTTTCTTAGTTTAAATTAATTCTTCAGGCCTTGCATATCAATAGCAGTCTTTCTGGATTATCAGGAGAATCATCAGCTGATTGATCTCGTTTTGCATAATTTCTGTTGGCTACCAACAACTGTTTTCATCTACAAGTTTGTGTCTACTCTGGCTTCCCCAAGAACTAAAGAATGTAATAGTATTTACCAGCCCTTTAATCCACTATTGGCATATCAACACTGATTTAATGCTTAACATGAAATCAAGCCTCTCTCAGAATTTGTTCACTTCCAAAACCAAGTCTGCTGACGATACTTCAAGTTTTGATTAGTATTTTTGCTCAGGAATGGAATTCCAGTGTGGCGTTTTGGATAGTTAACAGTGACTTCAAGTTTTGAAGCTGTGTCAGGAAACTTCCTTTACCAGTCAATTTGGCCATCTCTGCATGCTCAACATTGGTTACAGGAATTTTGGAGGCTATATGAGTCATGCAAGTATACTTCTGACATATACTGTCTGAGGAACAGCTGCTGCATCAAGTCTTTCAAAACTTTCAGCAAAATTTCTACTTAATAATGAAAGACCAATTTTTTTTTTTTATTTGGAAAGACTGTCACCAGTGTTGGCAAGTAACTAGCTGGCCATTTCCTTTATATAATTGATTTCCTTATGATCTGTCCATGCTGTAAGGTGGAGATGTGTGTTAATATTACTTTAAAAGGTAGGTATATTTGAGCCCCCATTTTGAAAAATCTCATATTCTGTGACACTTTCCCCTCCCATCCAGTCTTCCTCATCCAGCTTTTAAGTAATTTTAAAGATTAGTTTTCCATGCTGAAGTGTTCTTAGCTGAGTATCCCAGATTTTGCTTTCAGACTCTGACAAGTGGCCAAACTGAATGAGTGAATTCATGCTGCAGGGTTAGGCAGGAGAGGCTTGCTGTTGGGCCAAGTATGTCTTTCTTTTCCTTTGCCATTTAGAACCAATCTAAGTATTAACTCACCATTCAAAATCATCTGTCTGCTTGTTAGGATTTTCACCTAATTTTAGCCTGTACCCAGAGAATTTTTGTTTGGTCTATGGCCTTGTATGACACTTCTGTCACGCATAATTTCTGTAATGATTCCAGGTTGTGAAAAATGCCTGCAGACTTCTGCTAGTTAGCATCACAGAGTCTTGAATCTAGGATGCAACAAGAATCAAAAGTATGAATGACTTTTTATGAAACTGGATTGATAACTTTTCTGTTCCAAACATTTCTGGTAGCTTGTACCTATCAAGCTTTACTTGGAAGTTAGGAACTTTCTCCTTGTTTTTCCTTGTTGCTATTGAAAAAGAAATTTGAGAGCCTGGAGGTCAAGAGATAGAAAAGTTGTCAGAACTGGCCTGATGAAAGCTGGTGCTCTGGTTGCATGAGAACATTACAGAAGAACTGGCTGTGATCTTGACAGCTAGCTAGGATTATGAACATAACCTACCCTGGAAAAAAACCCTGATCCAAGTTGCCTGGAAGTTTGTCTTCTTACAGAGGATCTAATGAAAAAGGTTTTTTCCTATGTTGGATGATCTTTTTCTGCTTTCCAACCCTGACCAATCGTGATTAATCCCTTATGTCCTCTGGAGCATACATAAAAGCTCTGCATATACTGATAAATAATTACCTCCTTAAAGGTGTCAGTAGTGTGTTCTCTTGCACTGGCTGAACATCTGACAGGCTATTTCATTTTTCTGTTGTTCCATTTCATGTTCCAGAGGAACTTTTTCTTATTTTGTTGCTGCTATGAGCACCATAAAGGAAGCAACAATGATAATGATAATGTAATTGAAGCGTGCATATTTTCACAAAATAAGAGTCAGCTCCCAAGACTTTACATCTATAACCACAAAAGCCTGTCGTTTCCTGTACTGAGACAATGGAGGAAATGCACCTGCAAGAACTAAACAGTATGATCAAGTTTCAGTGTTTGGGGAATTGTCTTGGAACTACTTGTTTTATATGGAAGGTGCCTGCTGGACCTGATGTTTATGAACAGAGAGAGTTGGTGGATGATGTGATGGTTGGAGGCCTTAGCAATCACAAAATTAGTTTTTGATTTTTCAATGCTTAAGGAGGGGAGTCCGAAGAGCTGCCACCTTGGACTTCTGGAAGGGAGACTTTGGCAAGTTTAGGGGACTGGTTGATGGGGTCCCTTTGGAAGCAGCCCTGAAGGGTAAAGGAGTCCAGGAAGGCTGGATATTCTTCTTCAAGAAGGAATTCATAAAGAGGCAGGAGCAGATCATCTTCTGCTGAAAGACAAGCCAGTGGGGAAGATGGCCAGCCTGGCTGAACAGTGAGCTTTGGCTGGAACTCAGGAAAGAAGAGATTATGACCTTTTGAAGAAGGGGCAGGAAACTCAGGAGGACTACAAGGATGCCTTAAGGTTAGGCAGGGAGAAAATCAGAAAGGCCAAAACCCAACTAAAATTCAGTCTAGCTACTGCCATAAAAACCAAAAAAATTTCTATAAATACATTAGCAACAAAACAGCTGAGACTCTCCAGCCTTTATTGGATGAAGGGGGAAATGTAGTGACAAAGGGTGAGGAAAAGGCTGGTGTACTTCAAGATTTTTTTGCCTTAGTCTCAGAGTACCCAGCCCCCTAAGCTGGAAGACAGGAATGAGGAGCAGAATGAAGCCTCAGTTGTGTGAGGTTCAACAAGGTCAAGTGCCAGGTCCTGCCCTTGGGTCATAACAACCCCATGCAGCACTACAGGCTTGGGGAAGAGTGGCTGGAAAGCTGCATGGAAGAAAAGAATCTGGAGGTGTTGATTGACAGCTGCTGAGCATGAGCCAGTGTGTGTGCCCAGGTGGCCAAGAAGGGCAGTGGCATCCTGGCCTGGATCAGCAGTAGTGTGGCCAGCAGGACAGGGCAGTGATTGTCCCCTGTATTCAGTGCTGGTGAGGCTACATCTCAAATCCAGTGTTCAGTTCTGAGCTCCTCATTTCAAGAAAGACATTTTGGTGCTGGAGCGAGTCCAGTGAATGGCAACAGAGCTGGTGAAGAGTCTGGAGTACAAGTCCTCTGAGAAGCAACTGAGGGACCTGGGATTGTTTAGCCTGGAGAAAGAATCATGGGAGACCCTATTGCTCTCTGCCTTAAGGGAGGTTGTAGTGAAACGGGGCTCAGTCTCTTCTCCAAAATAAGCAGCAACAGAACAAGAGTAAATGGCCTGAAGTTGCACCAGATGAGGTTTATATTGGATACTAGGAAATGTTTCTTTGTGGAAAGGGTTGCGAAGCGTTGAACCAAGCTGTGGAGGGAAGTGGTTGAGTCCATCCCTGGAGGTGCTTAAAAGTTGTGTAGATGTGGTGCTTGGGGACAAGGTTTAGTGGTGGACTTGGCAGTGCTGGGTTGACAGTTGGACTCAATGATCTTGGAGGCCTTTTCCAGCCTGAATGATTCTGTGATTCTACATGGTCATCCTTGGTCTTGTGCATAAGTTTTACTTCAAAGTTTTAATGAGCAGCTAGGATTTATTGACTGCCTCCAAATTTGTCACTTCCTCACCACAAAAATAAAGCCAAAGAAGTAAGTTGCAAGATTGTTTGTTAATGTATTGTTTTGAAATCTCCTAGGAAAATGCCTAGAAATGGAACTGTATGGAAGAATAACTTTCATATAAAAATTCTTTATTAAGACTAAATCATTTTACAAATCACCTTTTCTTTATTTAGATCAGGAGGATTTCCTAGGGCGATACAAAGCCGTCTTTAAGACTGCATGTGAAGATCCTTGGAGTATGTCTTCAAGAATTTCTCTGCATCCCTTGCGAGAATTCCTTGTCTGTGTGCACCTCAAGCTGTATTCCTCAAATAGTCCATGGACAGCATATGTATATGCAGAAAAAACTCTTCACACCAATCTCTCTGCAAATAAGTATGATCTTGGACTTACAGGAGATCATGGTAAATTGAAGATATGGTTGTTTGGAAAACAAATAAATACTGCAGTAAGACTTCGTAAAAACACTTGGAACCAAATATGTATCCAGTGGAAAAGTGACAATGAGGAGATGAAGGTATTCATAAATGGAACAGAAAAATTACACAAGAAACTAAATGGGAAAGTCAATTTGCCTGGAAAAGGCCAGTTTTTACTTGGCTGTTCAAAGCTGCAAGGTACAGCTGCATCACCTGGCCAGGGTATGACTGGGGAGCTGTACCTGTTCAGAATGTGGGACAAGGCAAATATAACACAATCTAAGGACTGCCAGGATAGTGGTGTTATACGCTGGAGAAAGGAGGATTGGACCTATAACACAACAGTAGAAGAGGATGACTCTTTACAATGTGGTAAGTACCAGTGCATTGCTTTTGTAATAGTAATTCAGTCAAAAGTTAATCTGAGCATGTGTAGCATTTCTCTTCCAGATTTTAAAAGCCGTAGTTTATTAATAATTTCTGGCTAAATTCTTGATGAGATCATGTGAGGACCTGCAACTTCTTCCAGTTTTTATCCAAATAAAAAGGTATAGCATCAGTCCCATCTATCAATGTCATCTTAAAATATTTTATTTACACCTCTCCTGTTCAAAGAATAAATATGGAGGAAAGCATTTCTGGTTCTCATTCTACACATTTGCTAGGCCGAAATTTCAATGAGTGCAACTTTTCCCTGCTTTACTGGCACACTACGCCATATTCAGCTGGTAGGGTCTACATCTGCAAAAATGATAGGAGGATCCAATTTCTTCTTTATGAGTATCAGTAATGTATCCTTGATTAAAATGACCAGATTATTTCTCACACATTTCTCAAAATTCTTCTCTGCCCTGAAAAAGACCATAAAAACCTCTGAATCAAACCAAACCAAGATTTTATTTTCAGAGAAACTGAGTTCAAGAAAGAAAATAATCCTATTTTTAGCTTTTGCTATCATATCTGTTGGCAAAAAAGACAAACTTGAATCAAGCTTTGATGGAATACAATTTATCAATCATAGGAAATTATATTATCCCCTAAGAGATTTCAATGTGACTAGGTCAATTATTGTTTCCTAAAATTTTTATATAGCATCAGTGATTCAGTTTAACTGCAAAACAGTCTTAATCTTCATCACATTTATCCTTAAAAAATGTACCTATCTATTTCATGCAGATTCAAAAATATCTTTTTTCTGTGTAATATTATAACCACTGCCTGACTGAACTAGATTGAAAAAGTGTTTTGGTAAGGGTGGTAAAATAAGGTAACAGATTTCTTTTTTTGTGAGAGAAAGAAATCTATCCAACGCACCAGGACTCATGGAGAATGCTGCTAGCACTGGTTTGTAATGAATGAAATGCCTTTGCTGGCCTTCATGCTGTAGTTGGAAGCACATCTTTGTTGGGAAAGGAGCTGAAGAAAGGATGTCTTTATTTTACTCATGTCTGGCTGTGCTTGAAGGAACACAGTCCTAAGGCTGAAAGGAGGAACATTCTGGCTACCAGATGTATGTTTGGTACAAAAGAAGTCTGAGAGAGGTGTGAATAGTGGGTAAAATCTTGGTCAGAGTGGAGCATCTTACTGTGGTCTTTTACTGATGCACAGAAAGGACAACCCTCTTGTTTTCTGTTCCAGCAATTTCTTCCCTGAATATTGAGCATCCTTGAGCATCACAGGGCAGCTTGATCAGGCAATGCCCATTTCCAGCCTCAAGTGATTAATAATTTTAGAATTCATGATTTAGCAGCTTATGGAATCCTTTGTCTTACCTGCAAGAGCTCTCTAGTGAGTGTGTAAGATGCATTGTTTCTAAAGCTTTGCTGCTTAGCCAGTCCGAATAATTATGCTGACAGGGGTTTGTTTCAGTGCAGTGATCATCTCTACTGCCAAATATAAGTTATTTCCTCTAGATAACTTGGAACATTAACAGCTTTTCAAAGGGAAGCTTGCTGGAATTTTTTTACTGTTTATTTGCCTCCCTTCAGTAATAGATGCATTTTAGCTGATTATTCCCCAAGTCATCCTGTGGAAAGCATATATTTAGCAAATACCAGTCCAATAGATAACAAAGCTTTTACGGTAGAAATACCTAATATTCTGTGTGTGGTGATTTTAATTTATGTTGCTACTACTCTTACAATCTGATTTCTTTAAGTAAGTTCCTCTGAACACCTGTGTAAAAATTACCTGATTTGGGAAACTTCTCTTTTTTTTGTTAAAACAGAAGGCCTTTGAGTAGTAAGTCTGCAGAAGGATCTAATTTCACATCTGCAATGAATATAACTGGCAAAGGGCTAAAGTTTAGGGAAGTTCTCTGTAGCCACAGAAGTTGAAAAGGAGGTGGTTCATTACAGTCACAATTGAGCCAGAGGACAAGTTTCAGAATTTTTTTTTGTGACCTGGTAGGCATTTTGTGCCTACTTAAAACAATTATTTGTAAAATGTTCCATCAAAGGCTACCATAATTTCTGTGATTTCTTTTTTGCTTAACCACTCCAAGTCTTTGTGCGGTGTAAGCTGTTGTCTAATTGGTGTCTCATCAGCAGTGATCCATTGCACTAATAAGTCTAGATTTACTTGGTATCTTTTTTCCTGCCTTTCTTTTTGTTGACTCTTCTGATTCTTTCACTTTAGGTTTTATAATTTATTTGTGTGAAAATTTTTCCATTTACCAAAGCTTACCTTTTTTCTTAACCATTTGAGGTCTAATAAAGATCAAAGTCCTGATTGTGATAAGATTCACATCCTTAGCATTTAAAGGTATGCTCAACTTTAACCAAATAGCTCACTCCCCAGAAGTGTCTGGGATTACCTTTACAGTAGCTAGATATTTTATGCATCTGAAGATTTTCAAGAAAGGACATGCCTGACCGCTTCCCACTTTGTGATGAGGCTCACATTTCTTGGACTAATGTTTTTCAATAGTGAATTTTTAGATCTTGAGTTAAAGATGAAACTCTTGTTCCTTCCAGTGACAGTCTTCTGGTTCTCCTGCTTGGTGTGGCTGCTGCATGCTGAGCAGGTGTAAAATACTGCAGGCAGGGCCAGAGAGGGCAGGAGGCCATGCCCTTGGTGCATCACTGGCCTTCACGTACATTCTTCATGTTCCTTTGATAATTCCCCTCTTGCTACGAGTGAGAAGTAGCATAAGAACTGTGATATAGAGAGAAGAGTGAAGGTTGAATGTCTCTCACTTTACAGATCACCTCCTGGTATCTAAAAATACGTAAGTGAAGAAAGATGTGCTTCACATTCCATATTATAACCTTGGAAAATTTCTTTATCTTATTCCTTGATGAATGATTCCTCTGTAGCTACATACAGTGATAGCACTATTGTCTCTGTATAATCCAAGAAAGAGTCTACTAAGTAATCTAAAGTTTGGGGTCATTTAAGAGAACAAACACACAAGAAAATAAATGAGTTTAAAGTGCTAAATCCTTGAAAAGAGACTTTATTCACCTGTTAAGTACCAGCTCTTCAGTTGTCATTTTTACATGTGATATTTTTAAGTTACCTTTAATAATAACTTCACAGTGAAATACACTGTTTAAACATTAATCGTTTCAGTTATGCATTAAACAATCACTTTCTTAATTCAAGTACAAATATCCAAACTGTTACGCTGTACATTTATGCAAGGAGCACAGATATGACTTGATATCTTTAACAGATTTCAATGAATAAATAAAATAGATGATTTGGGGCATAACTGTAAATAGTATCACTGACAGTAAAGCACTGCTGTCTCATTTGTGATATTGGTGCTGTAACTTTTAGCCTGTTGCTTTTTATCCTAATTAAAATTCACTGAGTATATTGTGGCATTTTTGATTTCTCTAAATGGTCTTGTCCAACCTTCAAGATTAAGATGTTACCTTCCTGTTTTTATGAACTCTTTTGGCTTTCAATATTGCTGAGCCTACTACTGGTGTTGCCGGAGTGGGTTTCCACACTTCTGGGCACAGAGCAACTTAATGTTGATGAGAGAAAGGGGAAGTGACCAGTGCCCTGCACAGTGTGACTACTTTGCCTCTGTGTTCTCAAGCGAGAGGAAGGCTTCAGTTTGGGCTTTTGTTCTAGTTCACAGATGTGGACAGTAGAAAGTAGCTATGAGGCTCATAGAATCCTGATTAAAGATTTCCCAGATATGTGCACCTCTGATGACAGGATCATCTTTGCTGGAAGGGAGGGTGTAGTCTCAAGGCTTTACATCCTCAGGGAGGAAGTGGAAATGCAGCTGTCATTCATCCACTCATCTGGTCTGTATCCCAGTCTGTTGGGTACAGATCTTGATTGGGTACATTTACTGAGTGGATCATGAAAACAGAAGATGAAGAAGTAAATTATTCGCCCCAATGCCATTTCTTTTTTCTTAAACTGTAAGGACAGAATACTAAGGAAACCTTTAGAAGCTCTTGAAGGAAATGTGATGGGAAAAAATACCTGACTCTGGAGTGCCTTTTTGATGAGTCATGTGCCACTTCACTTTGTACCTATTAACAGAATACATGTTTGACCTTCCCATTCTTTGCTCTTGTTCCCTCCCTCTCCTGTGATACCAAACAAAGTGGCTTTTTGGAAATCAGCCCTCCAGAGAAGTAAGTGGTAATTTGATTCACCTCAGTATATAATGTACAGCTTTCCACAAACAGATAAAAATTGTATTTATAACCTAATGTCTTAGAAGCAGTGAAACATCAAAGCTGAGTTAAAAAATACTGAGCCTAAATTTTCTGTTAAGGATACAAAAACGAACTGGCCCAAGCGATTGAACCTGATGTAAACAAGTTCTGACATTTGTTTCTGTCTAGTGGCCAGTGACAATTCATCCTTTCTTTATGGTGCCACCACAGGGAGTCAGAGCAGGTACAAGCTGTCATGAGGGACACCAAAACATAAAACTAAAAGGGCATTTAAGTTTTATCCTGTAAAGTTATATACAATGTGCCTCAAAATCTACAGTTCATAGAAAGTCAAGATAGGCTAATGTTTCCAGTGTGCAACTAAGTAACAACTGTTAACATGTGTAGGATTTTTATGTGTTATTGTTATTAATGCCTTGTGTGACAGACTGGTTCATTTTGGCAGAACATTTATTCAGCTGAAAAGTTTATCAAATGCTAAGGGGACCTAATCTCATAATGGAAAAGATGGATATAATTTTACTAGGATAATTGAACATCACTATTGCTTCTGGAGACCAAATTTCATAGCCACCAAGGCGTTCCTTGGGATTCTTCCATTTGCTGATCTGTTGATCTGTTTGTGAGAGCTGAACATAGTCAAGACTACCTGTACTTTGAAAGAAGAGTCCTGGGTGCTAATACAAAGTGTTTTCATTTTTGGCATGTTTTTCAATTAATATAAGTAAAGTTTTAGTAATTTCATTCCATAAATCTCTTCTCTAGGCCCTACACATGTAAGCCCATAAATGTATGGTTCTCTGCCAGGAAGGCTGTCATGCTTCTACAGACTGGCAGGGCTGTTGCTGCTCCTTAGTGTTCAATGCCGTTCAGGATGCTTTCTGCAAACGTTTAAAAGAGATCATGAAGTTAGGTAAAACAACATTAGGCAGCAGCAGCACTGTTCCCTGGAAACAGGGGGACAAGAAACTGCTGCCAGTAATGTTGTTCTTGTGCCAAATTGTTATCGACAGACAGGTTCCAGCTGCTTCTCACTTCTCCACCCTGGAAAAACTGAACTGCTTCTCACAGACTGGGTTGCCTGAAGACAGGTGAATCAGAAAGGGTGTTGCCTTTCCAAAAAAATTAAGAAAGTGTACTGCTCATAAGTTAGATTGAAGGTAGGAAGAAGAAAAGGATCTTTTTTCATTATCATGCTTGGAGACAGAACATGGTATACCTTTCATGCTTTAAGGGCTTTTTCTCTCCCCTGTGCCACTGAAGAAATGGTATACTTTGACTGACAGTGCTTTTGCTTCAGAACCATCTGTCCCATCTTGGCCACTGTGTTACAAAGCGTCCTTCTGCCTTTCTTTCCCTTTCACTGAATTAATTTTTCAGTTCTGCTTTGCTTGGTGGAACAGCCTCAGCAGGGCATGTGGCGACCATCCCATCCTAAAAGATCCAGTAGCTTGAGAATTAAAAGCTGTCATGCTAAGGAATGATGTAAGCACAAGGCTATTTTTTTAAACAGGGCCAGATACTGGTCTCTCTCAGAGCTACATCAGCTTGTGTACCTGACCTTAAGTACTCTTAATAGGTTTAGTCTCCTGCCAGTCTGGAGCTGCAGTTACACTGGTTCCCATTGTCAAACAAAGTCATTGGGAAATGAAGGTTGTCACAATTTTTGCAGCTGTGGTATGGAACTGTGGTGAGAGCTGCTCAGCAGGTTTTATGCCTGTGAAACAGAGATGAGATTCCCAAGTTGTGGCTTAGCTGGTTATTTGTGTCGGAACAGTACAAAGTGATATGAAGGCAGTAAGGGACTTACTGCTTTTGTTTCTAATGATGCATGTTAGTAACAGAAACTGGTTCTTATCTCGTTTAACCAAGATGCCTTTTCCCCCAGAAAAGAAGCCAGACAGTTAGTTGTTATGAGGGCCTATTCTATCTCCTTTGCAACAAAAGGAAAAAATAATACTGCGTATTTAATTACTCCTTGAATCTTCAAGAGTGTTTTCTATTAGAGAAAATGTAGCAAAGTATTATTACAATGTGTAAACCTTTGTTTTGGCTTAGGATAATGTGTTAGGTTAGGTTAGGTATATTGATTTGGTGATCCTAAACTAACAGTGTTGCAAATGAAAATCTATAGAGCAAATAAATGGTAGTTTCATATATGTAAGGCTTTTTATGCTCTTATCAATAGTAAACAACCTAAAGACAATACATTTTCTGTTAGCTTGTAACTAACACATCTTGAGTTACTTTACTTTCCTTTTTACAAGCCAACTTTAGGGATATTTTAGATTGAACTCTAATCCTTCTCCAAATTAATCTATTAACTTTATTTTCTTGTTCTTAAACACAACAAAGGAAGAGGATTAACAAATAAATGATGTATGAATCTCTCCTCCTTCCTCCTTTCTGTATGCAGGGGTGACTGATTAAAGACTTGGTTAATGAACTTATAGCTGGACCTTGATAAATGACCAGTCTCATATACACGGATAATTTCTAGCAACTGTAGGCATATGACTATTGTGCTGTAAGAGAAGTCATAATTAGACTGGTGTCCATAAAAAAAATGGCTCTCAGATTATGCATGCCATCATCAGTTGCTGCATTTGCCAGCTCTATATTCATGGCTTGTGTTTAGCTTGCTTTACTCCCTGTACTGGTAGATGTGCTATTAAAAACGTTTGACATCTTTACAGTTCACTGTCTTTTTACTAATCCAACAAAACTAAATATGTTGATGAACAATTTTTGTACCTACCTCAGGGTACTACTTGTGTTCTCAAAAATTTACAATGTGGTTGAAGGAATATGGAGGATGCAAAAGGCAGCTTGACTGTCTCCACTGAAACCATGAGTTTGTGAGAAAGAACTTAAAGTTAGATTCCCTGTACAGATTTTATTTTTTAAATGGGCAGAAGAAGCAATGTTTGCTCTGAGATGCTGCATTTTTTTGGAGATTTTTTTTGAGAACTTAAATTTTTTGGAGATAAGGGCTTTTGCTCTGATTAAGACAGGACTAGTAACAGATAAACTTTTGGAGACAGAATTCACTTTCTCTGGTAGGAAAGTCAGATTGCTCACCCATGGAAGGATGCTTCCTTCTCCATCCAGAAGTTTAGTCAATTATCTTTATTCACCTCATTCTACCTTAAAAATTACATACTGTTTAAACAATACAGAATAGTTTTATCTGACTACTGCTTCAATTCTGCATATTACATTTGGTATTGTCCTGGTATTGTATTAAGGGTCTTCCCCAAGCCTACACTAGGTGCTAAGAAAATATTGGATCTACAGCAACCTCATCAACAATGAGGTCTCCAACGATCTGGGTGATGTCCACTGCACTAAACTGTGTGCCACAGTTAAGTACCTGCCACCATGATATGGTAGTGATGGACTGATCAGATATCAAGAAAGATGTTGTGGAGAAACGGTCCCACCTATTCCAGCATTTTGGAGAGAATCTCTTTCTTCCTATGCTACCCCTGGGCTTGAATCATGACCATGCCTAGTGTCCCACCAGGTTCAGTGACTTGAGAAGAGCTCTTCTTCTTGCCCAGACAGGGTCTCATCTATTAAAGATATGGAATTAGGTAACAGTGCTTTAAGTATAGGTGATGCTGTGTTGCATTGTTGCATTGTTGCTTGTTTTTCAAGGCCCAAGATGATGTTTTTAGTGGTGACAGGCTGCAGGCAATATTTGGAGCTGTCTGCTACTTTCCCTCCACCACAGGAAACACATAGCGCTTGCCTTGGTGGCAGGTTTGCTGCAGTGGTGTGATTTAATCAATCTGCTGGGCCTCCTCATTGATAGCCCAAGCACCATCTTTATTCTGGGGAGGCTTTAGTCACTTGGCTCGCTTGATGACATTTCACGTTCATGAGTGTGATGGCTTCAATTGTTAGATCCACCCCTTGATCAAGAGCCCATCTGTGTGTTGCATCTCACCCTGGGTGTCCCTGGGGACATGTTTCATAGGCCCACTGAGGTGGAAGTAGCTCACCTTTTCATCCCAGCACACATCCACCTGAGCTGCTTCATTCCTGGCAGCCTGATCTTTCACTGTTTAGATGTTCTCTGGTGGTGCAGCTCTTGGACACGTGAGTATTTGTATGATGTGCATGCGCATCATGATGTTCATATACATGTTACGTTTTTAGTTGCCACTATTTTACTCCTCTTCACCTTCACTAAAGCAAATGTGCTGAATAGGTTTCTGAAGACACTGGCAGTGGAAGAGAACTGGCAAAGCTCATGGCCTAACCTGTATCTTTCATACATATAAAAAGATAAACTGAGGAAAAAAATGAATTCAAAAGAGCTTTCAAAAAGTCTTGACACATATTTCTCAATGGATTCAAAGTAGTTTTGCAAACCTTTTTCAAGTGAGGTGAATACCACATCTAAAATGGTTGTGTTTAAAAAAGTGTGTGAATGTATATGCATGTGTACAAATATATATAAAATCTTCTGCTCCTAAAAAATCTTCTTATTTTGCAGTTGAAACTACTGCTACGCTGCCTAGCAGAAAAATAACAGGTATGTTTGGGTTCTGTGGGATTTT